AATATAGCTATGTTGCACTTCTGTGATATTTTCCATATGTGGATGTGTGAGAGAGGAATGTCAGGCAGAAAACCATTCTGGGAGTTGGGGTTATGGGAGAACATCTGAGAAGCAATGGGGAACAGCCCTGCACAGATGGCAAAATCGGCCACAGCTACTGTGACTCAGCAATTACTAAACATTTTTCCAAGACAAAATATTTTAAACCGGAATTAGTTGTAAAGAAACATAACATTAAGCTTTTTTAAAAATGCTATAAAAATGGGAGAGTTCAAAAACAAAATTGAAAATTTGTAGCTATGCAGTCATCCTACATTCTGTACCTGTACAACCATCAACATCCAATCTTTCACTCTTCCTTCCCCTCACTGTACTATGGTACTCATTTTTAATTAAGGCCTACTCTGGAATATCTTTTTGTTCAATAAAAATTAATGTTCCGATCTGATTTGACAGCTTCATCCTGTGTATGTAGTTAGGCAGCTTGTGTAGAGTGTAAATTACAGAGCATAGATTTTATATAAATGTATATACATTACAAACTTGTTCAATATGTCGAAACTGTTCTCACTCTTTGGGTACTAAAATTTAAGGAGCTGGGCCTAGATAATTTGTATCTCTAGATACACTGACTCCATAACTAATGACATTTGTTCAAATGCTAACTCGAATACCTCTTGAGAATACTGGGAGATTATTGCCATTTGTGTGTTCTGTTTTGATTCGATATGTGGTAAAGCACTGTATGTATTTTATTTTGACTGAATATGTCTCTTTAAAGGAGCCAGGACTCCCTGGCATGAGCAATGTAAACACAAGTCAAGGTGGTTTAAATCATACTGTGTGGTGCAATCTTTGGAAGATTAAGAATCAGAGAATCTAGTAAAATATGTTCTTAATTCCGAAAGTTACTGATGAAACTCACTTCTTGGCAAGATAGGGTGTCTACGTTTCTGATGCCTCTAACAGAAATGAAATGGGCAGAGATTAAGTTGGTGGAGTGATCTGAATTGGTTTTTTGTACGTTTCAACTTTTCTCTCTCAAATTTTAAACTTCACATTGCACTACCAACATGTTTTGTTTTGTTATTTAAATACAAGACATCCCATTTTTAAATGGACAGTCCTGTAGTTAATCCTACCTGCAGGCATCCTGACTTATTCTTAAAAGTGGGAAAAATTTGTATTTTCTGTTTTCCTCTTCCCCCTCCCCCTGTCATTACTTGCAGTTTCTGCTGTTGGACAGATCCCTGCTTGCCAGCCTTGTGCCCACCATTGATGTGGGAGGGGCTTGAATGGCTGACACAAGTGGGAGTAGGTATGCAAGGCTCATGGCACAGTAAAGATGCAGCATGTGGGGTCAGCCACTCCTCTTGCTGGACCTTCAGTGCAGCTCCCACTGCATGGAGGCTCTCTGCCAGCAGGACTCCCCCCTTCCTCCCAGCCTGTTTACAGATGGTACTGGCTGCACAATGCTGTAGTTGGTGACTGTAGGCAGGCACCAGGTGATAGCCAGTTACGCGTCACCTCTGCAGCCCTCCCATTGGCCCGTTATGTTCTTCCCGTCTGTATCCTCTCCCTGCTTTGCCCATTCTCTCCTCAACTCCCACTGCTCTTCCATATATCTGCCTTCCAGCTAGCAGGCTCCCTCCTTCCCTCATTGCTCCTGAGTGGACCAGTCCCCAGGGAAAACCCAAGACCGTCTGGCCTGAGGCGTCAGCATGGAAGAGCTGAGCCCTGCATGTGCCAAAGCCTAACACAGTATTGGCATTGGAAAGCCTCTCTGCCCATCAGCTAAGCACTGGTGTGGTGGTAGTGAAGCACTTTCCACCCTGTTCACTCCCCAAACATGCAGGGCTCGTCTACACTGGCCCCTTTTCCGGAAGGGGCATGTTAATTTCACCTATCGTAGTAGGGAAATCCGCGGGGGATTTAAATATCCCCCGCGGCATTTAAATAAAAATGTCCGCCGCTTTTTTCCGGCTTTTAAAAAAGCCGGAAAAGAGCGTCTACACTGGCCCCGATCCTCCGGAAAAAGTAGGAATAAGTAGGAATAAGTAGGAATAAGATCCTCCGGAAAAGGGCACTTTTTCCGGAGGATCGGGGCCAGTGTAGACGCTCTTTTCCGGCTTTTTTAAAAGCCGGAAAAAAGCGGCGGACATTTTTATTTAAATGCCGCGGGGGATATTTAAATCCCCCGCGGATTTCCCTACTACGATAGGTGAAATTAACATGCCCCTTCCGGAAAAGGGGCCAGTGTAGATGTAGCCGCAGATTCTATAGCAGCCCTCAGGGCAGGGACTCAGCACCCTTCTCACCTGCCGTGAGTCCTGCTGTTAGCATCAGAGTGTAATGCTGCTCCATCCCTTAGGCAGCCTCCCATCTTAGCCACCCTCTCTGGTCAGGTTCACTGAAGTGCCTGCAGACAGGTGTCCCGGCCTCTGGTGCACAGTGCATCTGCAGGGCTTAACTTGTTTCTGCCTGCACTGTAGCTAGGGGATGGGAGGGGTCTGGGTTATGTTGGTGGCCAGCAGCAGCCTGTAGGTATTGGTGCCGTTGAAAACTGTGTGCCCAGGTAGGGAAGAACTCTACAAAGACACAGGCCAGGTCATCCTGTCTCCTCTGTTGTCCTCCCCCTGAAGCTGTAAGCAGCTTCCGTCCCTCCTGCGCTGTGCCAAAAGGCTGCCACTGGCCTCATTCTGGTGTGGACCCTGGCAGAAATCTGGGGTATGGGGAGAATGTCACCTTGTATATACACCCCACCCCTCGCCCCACACACACATATTGCCTTGAGAAGATGCAGTGCCTGGTACCAGAAGAGACAGGTCCATCCCGGGAGTTCAGCCAGTCAGAGTGTAGAGCACCAGTCAAGCACAGTTGAGTGGCTTGATCACCTTCTCCCCGTGTGAACACTAATGCTTTAAAGAAGGTAAATAAAGAGAACCCAATTATGCAGTATTTCTTTTTAATAGAGTCTCAGTCAACTCGATCATTTTAATGTTTGTACAATCGATTGCTGTTGGACTTGCTTGAATAAGAGTAATTTTACCAGGTATCTGGTATTCAGCATAGGGAAATATGGTCACCCTATTTTAATACTACTCCCTTCAATATATTTTTTAAAAAGTGTATTGTTATATGTATCTGTTCAGCAGTAACTCCAGAACAGTCATTTCCCATCTATTTTAATTATTTAGTTTGAGAAGTCAGTGTTGGGGGGGGGGGGGTGAAACAAAAGAACAAAGTACTTTTCTTTCAAGGCACTGAGAATGATCTTTGGTCTTCGACTAGTGACTTGTTCTTCAGAAGAAAAGAGCAGAGAAAACAAATATAAAATTCTAAAGCTTCCTGATCAGTACAAGTGATATGAACAAGTCAGTACAGTTTCTAAAGCTTAAATCATTCTTATCTATTTGATTAAATGTTTAACATTATGAAAGTAGTAGATGTTTTTTAAAGTCTGTGTAGTGTAAGTAATGCAGATCCAAAGTAAACTAGCAACAGAAAAGATCTAACTTGCCTGTCAAATTCTTCAATTGAGCGTTTAAAAAAAATATTATCTGTAATTGTTAAATGAACGAATCTGTTTCTTTAATAAGGAGTTATTTGTTCTGTGGCAAAGCACTCAAGAATCAAGTTGCTGTTCAGATCTCCATAGCATGCATTTGTTTATATGTCCATTTTGTTTGCTTGCATTTTGATGGTTGTAGATGAATATATCTCTCATAGCAACCCTTATAGCCTTGATTATTTTTATGCTGTCTAAATGGAGGCTTCATTCTATCTTTTAGTCCTTGAGTTTGACAAAGTAAATCACTTTCATTAAATTTATGGCCAGATTTCTCTTTAGATCACAAGTAGGACATTTATTCTGCCACCCATATTCATGCTAAAAATTACCTCACTCCTCAGATAGTCCTGTGCATTTCAATTAGACTAATTTGAGAAGAGCAACAGGGGGTGACAGAATCTGGCTGTCAGGTATAATTGTCCTATAGTGGAGAGCACAAAGAAATCGCCCAGGAAATATTGAGACCTGATCCCAGTTTTATGTCTAATATGTTGTATGGCTTTAGGCAAATCATACGCCTCACTTTTTTTATATGTAATGGAGAGATTAGAGTATTTTACAGGATTCATTGACAGTGAAGCTTTTAAAAATGTAAACTTCTATATACATATTTAGCATTATTAGCTTTCAGCTTTTTGTTTTCTGTTGATTCAGTTAATTAATGAGAAGTGCCTGCTTAGGAACAAATCTGGAACAAATGATTTACAGTATAACACAACAGAAAAAATAAACAAGTCAGTTAACATACAGAACTTTTACTTCACCAAACAGATCAGTCCACAAATGGTATTGTGTGAACTGCAGTGTGAAGAAGGGGCTCTTCCTAATTACTGAGATTAATGGCAAAACTTCTTAGATTTCATTAGGAGCAGGCTTAACAGAAGCCCACCTTTCTTGGGCACACTGGAGAATATCAGGCATATTGAAAAGGAAACCCAAGTCTGAGAAGAGAATAATAGTCATTCACTTCTATGTGTGCCTTCTGTTTGCTCACCACAAAGTGGCATTGGTGCATCAAGTTAAGGTGAGAGACAACCATAGATGAAAATAAATAAATAAAATATCATGAGGGGACTTCAGTTCTGTTTATAGACAATTTTACTGCATCTAGTTTAGATTATGGTGACTGTAAATATAGTTAAATATTGGTTTTGTTTTTATTGTTTAGCAACTTTTTGTAGACATAGCAAGCGGTGAAATTTCCGGTGAGTTACTTGATGAAGTAACAGCTATGGACAGTATGATTGCTGAACTGCAAGAAATGAGCAACCAGTTGAGGAATCGATGCTGAGATAAAGAAGATAAGATTTCCTGGACAGAAGACAAGACATTCTTTATTTGTTCCGGTTTCTGCTGATGAAATTGCAACAACTGTAATGCATAATACAAATTTTTAATAAATGTTTTCCTGTACAATGACATTCTTATAGATTCCCCAAGCTTCTAAACTGTTTTTAAGATCATGTCGACTAAGTCTCTTAAAATTGTGTGGGTTTCTGTGGGCTTAGGTTTTCTGGAATTTAACTGATTATATTTGTAAGGTATGTATTGAGGATTAGTTCTGTCTGGGTGCATTATATAATTGGCTCCAGGCCATAACTGTACATTGTTGCAGATGGGAGAGACTGAGACAGCTCCATGTTGTTATAGCATAGGATGAAATTCAAAATAATGAGGATCTTGACTTAATTGGGAAAAAGGGGAAAGTGAGAGAGGGGAAAAATTTTAGTTGGGTAAAAATTTTAATTTCTGTTATCTCAAGCAAATGTTGTCCAGATAGCTGAGTACTTGCAAGTTGAATATTTAATGAAAAAATATTAAATGAAAATATAGTGATAGACAAAGTTGTATTCAACTTACGTCATTTAAAGCGAAGATTTGAATCTCAACCATCTAGTGTGATTGGGTTTTTTTTTATTAAGAATATCTATCTTTTGGTACAGTCTGGTTTATTCCAAAACAAGGAAAAAATGCTTTTTAGAATTAATTGTGAGCCCTATCACTAAATCATCTCTGGAAGGAAAATTTTAGCACTGTGAAGGGAGGTGGGAAGTCCCTAAGAAGCAGGGAAATCTCTTAAGTCCCACTTTCTACATGGTGGCATATTTTAAACAAGAACCCCATCACAGCCAGTTGGACACCCGGTTTCTTAGATTCAGCTGTCATGATTTTAAAAATAAATATAGGTTGGACCTCCCTGGTCCAGCACCTTTGGGACACAACTTGTCCCGAACAACAGTATTTGCCGGATCGGGGCGGTATCCCCTGCCACAGGCCCACGCCAGCTGGCCTCCTGCATCTGGACTCCTCTGTCCTCTCCCCAGCCGGACTCTGCTCTGCTGCTGCTGGCCCTTGCTCCAGCTGCCATGGGCAGCCAGATTTCCCCAGCCCTGTGCTGCCATGAAGGGCCAAGCTTCTCCGGCCCCCAACTCCACTCTGCCATGGGCTGTTGGAATTCTCCAGCTCCACACTGCTACAGATGGCTGAACGTCTACAGCTCCCACCCCAAGCTGGCCCAGGCACCTGTGATTCTCCAACCTCCAGCTCCACGCTGCCGCGGGTTGTCCAAAGCTCTCCGGTCCCCAGCCCCAGCACTGTTGTGGCGCTCTTCTGATTCTGCTGCGCCCAGTCCAAGCCAGACTGCTGGCCCTCCTGCCATTAGGCTCCCCGGCTCTCTGATACAGGAGCATCCATGGTCCAAGAGTACCAGTTTTCAGAGGTGCAACTTGTAATTGCCAGCGATACTGTTTGACGATACACATTTTTAACAAAAAGTTGATATGTAGTTTGAGCTCATTTAGCAGTCTGGGAATAAACCCTTATTCCATTTATGCACATCTTTCTAGCCCTTAAATAAAATTGGAAGTGGCAAAGTTAATATTTGTGCATAAACAAATATTATTAATTTCTCTAAGTAGGGTTTAACTACCCTTCTCCAGTGGTTGTTTACTGTAACTGTTTCTTCACTTGATATGGCTGCATGTAAGGGTCTTCATCTCTTCTAGTACAGCCTGTAGTGGTCCATCCCTGCTCTACTCACTTTGTAGACATCGTCCATTGCACAGTACATAGATAGTTTTGAGTTTGACCCTGATTGATTCTGTATCTGGCCACTTCTCTAATAATCATGTAAGACTTCACAGGGGTCATGGAAACTAAAGCCACGTTCACTCTGAGATATCTGACTCCTATACTCCTCCGTACAGCAACATTTGACTCAAAATCTCAAGAGGAGACAGCTGCCAGTTAGGGCAGAGGCAACCATATCACTGAGAGAACTCTGGTCTTCCCCCACTCAATGATGGAAAACTTCCTCGCATGGCATGAGAAATACCTTCTCCCAACCAGACAGTCCTGAATTCCCACTAATTTGGGTATTTTCACTGAAGCCTCCCCCTTGCAAGACTAAGCCTGCTACAACCTCATGTATTACTGGTGATTCTGTGGCCCTGATGAATCCTCCTGATGAGGAAATTAATGGAAATTGGCAAGTTTCTAGACACCAGAACTAACCTGTATTAGACTGGATACTGAGGTGGCTGGGTATATGCCTTTTTTTCAAGATAAAAAGTGAGTTTTAACACAAAGGAATACCAGCCTACTCTGCTATTTTAAATTCCTGTCTCTTCTCTCCTGTGATTCTATGTTAGAACATAAGGGAAAGACTCAGCATAGCTAAAATGGACTCTCTCAGTACTCTGAACTTGGAAGAAACTTTTGTTCAATTATTGATGAGCGGGAAAATTAATTAATCTGATGTAAACAAATAATGATGTAAATTGTATCTCCAGAATCGTGCTGGACTCTTCCCAAGTAGTGGGATGACACAGTCTCTATACTGAAGAGGTTGAAATGTAAACATTGACATACACAGAGAAATGGATAGAGAAAGAACCAGCAGAGTGGTCACAGCAATTGAGATATTTACTTATTAGTTTCATGGTCATGTTTTTAAACATAAGCAAACATCAGCTTTTCTGTACTTACTACAGTAGACTTCGGATAATCCGGAACCTATGGGACTTAGGTGGTGCCGGATTATCAAATATGCCGGACTATCAGGAGGTACTATAAGATGGTTTTATATATATATATTGTATACATTATATACTATATATAAAGTGTTCTTAACCCTTTTTATTGTACATACTGTATACAGTATACTGTAATGTTTTAGTTTTTTAAGCCTTTTTTACCCTTTTTGCTCAGTTCAGCTGCTGCTGCTGTTACCTTGTGACTCATTTTTTGCCGAAGCTCACTCACTAGGCTCTTGCCATTTTGATGCTGGACTAGCAGGAGTGCCGGACTATTGGAATATTATTGTTCTATTTCCTTTTTCACCACCCACTTTTCATTTTAAATATTTCTTTCAACACAGCTTAGCTAGCCCCTTGCCCATGATCTCCCTAATCCACACTAACTAGGCTGTGAATGCAGGCTGCCAAACTGGATCAGCTC